ACCTTAACTATGAGCTTGAATACACCAAAAAACTCTGTCCAGTTGTCGTGTCATCCATGTTATCCATGTCAGCTTTGCCAGAAAACAGTTTTAAAATGCAGCTGAACACAACTAGTGTTTGGTTGATTTGTATACACAAAAAAGTTCTGGCAGTACAAAATGTCTCTTTAAACCAAACAGAGAAGAACGCTCACTTACACAATAGTTTGGGGCTAATGCTGTGAACCATGGACTCACCAGACTGTGTGAAAGCACAGTTCACAGTATCTGTACATATAAAAACCCTTTCAAAGAAACTATTGAATCCTGTTAACAGTGCAGTGACCCCTAGAGCAGTGTAAGTCAACCCCAATGGGCATCCCAATGTTTGATTGACATATTGTGAGAACTTAATAGATCAGGTATTCAGACAAATATTTGCTTGTTTTTACGGCTCCCTTACTTCACCTTGTTTGCCCCTTTATCTCTTACTCTCTCTTGGTTTACACATTAGCTCCCCTCTGCCTCCTATCTGAGTCTCTGTGGGAGCTTTGCCCTGCAGCAGAGCAGTGACCTGCAGGTCAGAGTTCAGAGCCAAAATAAAAACTAGGAGAGTCACAGGGATATTACCTTGGTGTCACATCACACACAGCCCTTTGATCCATATCACACCTATGTGCATTTACACAGGCTGGTGCAGTGTGACACATATAGGCACTGAAGCATATTAAACAAATATATATTTTACTTTCCAAATCTTTTTTTCAGTTGATAAATCTACTTTATAGCTTTACGAACACATGTTTTGTAATTTGGTTTGAAAAAATGTATAATGTTGTAAACCTCTCTCAAATACATAAACAGACATGCATAGTCAGAAATGAGGTGTGGCAAGCTGTGATTCCAGGTTCATCCAGGAAAATGTGTTTATTTTCGCTGGCCAATGGGAGCTTTGGAAATGGAAAACCTACTTATTAAATGCAACCGTCAGACAGAGCCCAATCTATAATGCGTCTGTGTTTCCCCGGCACTGCGACCTTTTAGTCCAAATGTTGATAGGCCTTAATTGTATTTAGCTGCTGTAATTCCACGAACAGTCTGACCCAGAGGCTAATCCAGGGCAGGCAGGCAGCGAACTGTGCACTCTGCCAGCTGCCATTTGCTGAAGTGGCATTTTAAAAGTCGCAGCTGAAATGTCCCATGGGCGTGCATCTCTCCTCATCTATCTCATTCTCCTGCCCTCATTTTATAACCCTCCTTTGTACACGTGATGCTGCTTTGTTTTGGGTTTTAGGGATTTGCTGGGCTTTGTCTGCCCTCAATTTGGTGTGTTACTTACAGTCGATGGCAGTCAACCCGCCCCCAGTTTGAAGAAAGCTTCAATAACTAAATCAATACCAGGTCAAATGTTTGCTCATTTTAGCACATTTTTCCCACTTTACCCTGCAGACCATGGGAGTTTCTGGTCTACTGCTAACTCATGTTTTTGTGTGATTTTGATACTTTAGGTTCACCAAAATCAAATAAACAAACTTATAAACGAACCGATCCAGGCAGCAACTCCTGTGTTTAGTAAAATCACACTTTTCTGCCAGCTTTTGGAAGAGCTATATGGCAAGATACGGTGAAACTATTATAGTTTCTATGTTGCAAATTTCTTTCCTACTCTAGGTAATACAGTGACTTCACAACCCCACTTCAAACAATCCAAATTATCCCTCGAGCAGTTCAAGCTTTCTCCTCCTCTTGTTTTCTGATGACAAATTAAATCAAGCTAAACCACAGTGCACACTAATTAAAAAAGCAGGAAACAGCTTATGGCAGACACCCAAATGTGACTTTATACCCCCCCCTCCTTTATTCTCTATCTCTGACCCTGCTTTCCTTTTTGTCTTATCCTCAGGCATCTGTTCCTCCGTAATGTCATTTCTGTCTCTGTGGCTCTCTCTCTCTGCCCTGCTCTTTGCCAAGACACGACATCTCTCTGTCTCTACACTTGTCTGTCTTCCTCTATTAATTTAGACCTTTCCAAAAATCTCCCCTCTCTCCCTTTTCTCTCCTCTCTGCTCTTTCGTGTCATCCAGCCGGCTGTAGGCGAGGAAAAACAGAGACTTATGTGTCTGAGTCAGAGCTACTCAAGTGCTCTGCCCCTCAGCCACGAGTGACCTCCACAATGAGGCTTTTGAAAAGTCAAGTGGATCAAGTAGATTCGCCACCATCTGCAGGATTAACCACTAATCAATATGAAAGCAGATTAATAGCTATGAATTCACGTAGCAGACACATGAGAGGAAGCCGGGTCCCAACAGGTCGTGGGAGTTTTGATGCGTTATTTCATTTTGAAGAATTTAAGTGAGGGACATAAATGTTTGGCATGATGAGATTTTTTTGTAGGAGATTTTTAGGTCATAGGAGTGCTCTGACTCAGATTAAGAGAATAAGGGAAGAGCCCGCAGAGGTAGTCCTCTTAGGGAACAACAACAGAATTGGTCCCTTTAGCATTTGCCCCGAAATGTCAATGTTCAACCCAAAGCCCTCCAGAGGCCTGAGGAGTTGTGACTGTTGTCCCTTGTAAGCAAAGGACGAAATATAATTTTAGTAATTCAGAACGACAAAGTCTTTGTAGGGAGAAGTTCAGGGAATCCCTTTTCATCAAGTCCTAGACTCAGTACTTCAAAAACACGTGCGTTTTTGCTAAAGTCTAACTATTTTGATATAGAATTGCTAATATTTAATCAAACATGTTTTCCTTTCTTTGGGATTCTTCATTGACGGTGGAAGAAAACGTTTTTATTTGCTGCTTGATTAAGAGCACTTGTTGAGTGAACACTGTGGGATGCACCTCAGAGTGACTGGAGACATATCTCATCAGCTCGACTTTGGTAAAGCCTTACACTCGTACTACATTCCCCCCCTGCTACTCAAGGCAGTGTTACATATTCTTTTGTTTGTGAAATCCTGCAAAGACAGACACGTGCGGCTAATCTGACAGCCTTCCTTTGCAAAGCGAGACGAGAGCTGCGGGAGAGCGAGTGACAAGGAATGTCCCATTGTACAAAAACATCTTTGTGACAGGCAACACCTCTTCATATCTCCGCGCAGCCCTGTTTGCTCAAGGAGACCACATTCTTGTCCGGGAACACACAGGCTGACACAAGTTCACAGGGAAAACTGGTAGTTTGAGGTCAACACCTTTTTGTACAGAGGTATTTTTTCTGCTCAGAGGACAGGCTAGAATTAAAGGCCTTTTTATAACGCTCGTTGTGAGTTGACCTCTCGTTTTTCAGCCGGTGTGTTCAATTGACACAGCTGCTGCGTGTGAGGTGACAGGTGATGCGGAGTTGAAAAGCATTTTCCGAACCCCCCCCCNTCTATCTAGGCATATAGGATTGGTGTACAAGTTAGTTAGTGTATTTCACTTATATTGTTTTATTTTATTAATTATATTTTGTATTTGTATTTATGTGTGTGTGTGTGTGTGTGTGTGTGTGTGTGTGTGTGTGTGTGTGTGTGTGCGTGTGTGTGTGTGTGTGTGTGTGTGTGTGTGTGTGTGTGTATATATATATATAAATATAACTTACATTTCCGTGCATCCCTGTTTTGTAATTTAAGGAATAAATTAACCTTGTAATGTAGATGTTACTTTTTTTTTACTACGCCATGGTAATCTTTACCCAAACCTATAATAATATGATGTCTGACATTTTTGCAATGCTTCTTCTTTTTTTACAATTAACATTGATCTCCTACAGAGTGTGAACTGAATGCAGACTGTCACCTCCCTCGACATGAATCTTTTCATAGCTAATAGATAATGTAACAAGACTCCCAGTTGGGAAACTTCCTTGGTTTGTGTGGTAATGAAACTCTTGAATCATCAGTACATATGAACATCTGAATTAGAAAATATCTGGTTGTTTGATTTAAAGTTACACCTGTGAACAGAAAAACTTCAGAGGACAAGATAAATACGACTCAGATGTGCACTTAGGCACTAAACAAACAATCTCAGACCAGGCTAAAGTACTAATTGTATGTGCTGGTTTGAACATATTTTTGCACTGTTTTAATCATTTATGACAGTGAAAGACAACAGAAAACGTTCTGTGAACAACAGATTTTTATTTCAATTATTGGATAATCCATATTTCCAAACAAAAGTAGAGCAGATAAAAACAAACTTTCTGTGAATTCATTGATCAACAGATAGCTTTCTCAGGTCCCAGATGGCTTTTCCAATGCCAAAGTTGATACCACAGTGTCATGTTGGAAATGTGAGACAGGTTGTCAAAACAAACTTGCTTCCACCAAAGGGAAGAGAAAAAAAAAAACGTAAAATAGTCCTAAGCTAAGTCACAGTCATAAGTCCAACTGGGATAATATTGTAACATAGACTGAGGTTTTCAGAGGTTAGTGATACGGTTCTCTACGGTATCGTTACGATAAGCTCAAATGACATGAGACGAGGGTTTTTTCCCTACATGACAATTTCATCAAGAAGAGGAAAAGAACTCGCATGAGGCCTGAAAAATCAAAGTGCTGATGATATTAAAGCAGAATTATCTTCTCTCTCTATTGATGCATTCAAAAATATCTGCATTTTGCATCACTTTGCTATGACTTAATGTGCACATTGATCAATTTGTACATCATGTGAGTTCATTTCCTCCCCTGACAGGACATAATACCTGTTATAACAGGTAACGAGAGATTATGGCACAGTCATAAGATAAATGCTCAGTGACAAAATCTTTGTTCTAAGGCAAGTACAGCTAGTTTAGTTTTGTAAAATGCTCCCCCCCAAGGACCACCATTGACAATCATGAAAATAAAACAATGAGGATAAGTTGTGTCCCTCCTGTGATAACAACATGTGAGGAGTTTTAGTAGGCCTTTTGAATTATGAAAAAAGGTAGATCAATCGAATGGGTAGCAAGAATCTACCAGTGCTGTTTACATGAGTGAATAAGTGTTGGTTCTGACTATGCAAGTGCCTATAAGCTTTAATTTGTATATATATATTTTTTTACAAACACCTTCTTTCCCACTGAGACCCAAAACAATTATATCGTCGAATTATAAACAAACAAAAAATTCAATTTTCATCACCAACACTATCACAAAAAAATGCAAACAATATGCATTGTCAGCTTTGGCAAAGGCTGCTGATAAGTGTAAATGTTTACTGTGTTTGTCTTTTAGTTTTTGTACTGATATTGGCATGTCTTTCTACCCACCCTTTGAACCTGAGCTTTTCCCATTGAACTCTAATATGCTAGATGCCTATGAATCAACGATATACTGTACATATGGACACAATCATGAGTTTTCTCTCCATATTAACAGTGCTAATACAAACACACAATAAAACATGTCCTCTGCAAAAGTCCAAGACATTTTGGCATTTGTCTTTTTTTTTTTTTAATGGCTTCGGGCTTTCTTTTTAAAAATGTGTGAATATACATAGGCCTTGTGCTCTTGGTTGTAGAGTCCCATTGGCAAAGCGCTTACTCAGTATTCACCGTACTGAGGCACCAACAGCAAAGCAAATATGTTGTCTTTTGCTACCCCCTTTTCTCATGGGGTTTGAGACAAGTGACATCTGAAGTGAGTCCATCAGACCTGCTATTGAACTGCGCAATAACCCGTTCTACCAACTTGTCCATCTCGTGCCACATCTCAAATGTAGCCTGCACTGTTGGCTGACGGGCCGTCAAGTCTCTGCAATCGCCATGAATGATTGGCTGGCTTGAGGAACCGGGAAACGGATGGTATCGTCAGTCTGGGTTTTTTAAGCGGAATGGTGAGGGAGAAGCTGGGAGAGGAAGTTGAACGCGGAGATTGGATGGATGGATGGATGGATGACCAGTTTGATGGACGTTCAGCCTGATTTCTCCCGCAGCTTTTCCTGTCCGTCCTCCTCAGGGCCCGTTCTCGTTGTAGTGGAGGGAGATGGGCCGGTCGCGCTGCACGGTGGGCATGTACGGCCAGTTGTAGCTGGAGCCTGAGAGCAGCATGTCGCGGAGCAGCGTCTCGATGGGTGTCTTGCCAACCAGGCGGACGAAAAACAGCTGCTCGATGACCGGAGAAGAGACGATGCGCAGGGAGGGCAGGCGGAGGAGGAGGCGTCCGAAGCGGTTCGGCTGGCTCGGGTACTGGTTCCTTACATACTCCTCCAGGGCACACTGGGACTTTTCCTGGATGCTCTCTACATGCGTAACATCTGACAGCCCCATTGCATCTAGAGGGAAGGAAGAGAATAAAAACAGTTATGAAACAGAGTCCTTATAGTGTCTGAATCACCCTGCAATAAAAACACATCAAATCCAAAACTCCTAATGACCAGGTGTGACATTTAATTTGTTCCTTATAACAACCACGTTTTCAAGTTGACATCCGTAGTCTGTAACTGAGGCTTGAATTTGTGAACATTTTATTTTGATTTAACTAGTTGTGTAATATAACTGGGAGGCTCAATTTGAAGTCTTGACCTGACACTGATTTTAAATGTGTTGATTATATGAGATAAATGCTGAAACAGAGGGGTAATCAAATGTAATAAAGAGCTCACATATTTTGTTTTGTTTTCAGTTTAAATTCCTCAAGGCAGAGAAATATTTCTCAAACTTGAGAAAATTCCGGTTGTCACTGCAGAGATGCGTATCTGATACACCCCTGTGGTCTGTGTTCACAGCACACTACAGAGTCCCATTCCCCGCAGCTGGAGGTCATGTTCTGCCTCCCGCCTCCTCACACCTCCTCTCGATGGCCCCCGCCTTGACAAGAGTCTCAAACAACCGATAGAGTTTGTAACACTGCGCGATACTTTTCGCACCCTCTGTGTGCAGGGGAGAGCACGGGGGATTTAGCAAAAGAGGTCACGATGTGTGAACTCAAAACAAAGACACATTTCACTGTACTATGCCACATACTGTACGTTCAGGGGGAGTGCTCTCTGACTCTGCCCCCTGAGTGAACCCTCATGTGGAGGACAGGATTTCGATGAGGGCAATTTCTCCTCAAGAGCGTTCTTTCGGTCTGAAAGCGCTGGCCCGTAGGTTTTAACCTGTCACCTTGCATCGTAGGTCCCCTTTGTCATCTCACACTTTGATCTGCCCCCTGTTTAAACCCTGCTGGGTTCCATACAACAAAACATTTGATTGACGTCATTTTTTTTAAATCGAGCGTGTCAACCTCGACTCACTTCCAGCGGCCACTGTTCTTATCATTCTGAGTGAATAATTGCCCCCACTTCGGCTTTATTTCCCTCCACTCGGGGGACAACTGAATAGCTTCTTTTTTTTTGTTGCTGAGCCGCCATTTTGAGTCCTGCGTGACAAAGCAGTCCCTGCCTGGCTGGGATTAGTAAAGCTGTCTGTGGGACTGAAACCACATCACGTGCCGAAGCGACAGCTCTGCGGGCGCCCTTACACGTAACACGCCAAGTGGCGTTTTATTTTGCCTGATCCTTGGGCACACACCGGGTCAATGGGGGTGAGGGATCAGGGTGGCAGGACTGAGATGCCACGGTCTGATGTGCATTGACAGGACTGGGCTTAACAGGGGAAGTGTAGGGAGGGACTCAGAGGGAGGTGAGAGTCTATCGGTGTTTGTCTCAGCTTGTTAGCTCGTCGCACCAGGTCTGCAGGAGTCAGGTTTATGAACCGGTCGATCTAGTGTGCGAGTGAGCATGTCTTTCTCCATTAAATTCAATTTTCTGCACGATTCACTAAATGTATTGTCTTCTTTTGGTGAGACATTTGCCGTTTTTAGTGACGTGTATGTGAGTACATCTGCCCGCACACAGACTAGTCACATGGGATGCTCAGGGCTACAGGGGTTATGTAGGTCATGGCCGTGGCTTTTGCGAATCCTTCGTCTCACTGAAAACCACCATACATAATTCAACTCCCGTGGTGGGGGCAGGGGTCCCGGAGCCTGGGCTGGGCTTGGGGTTGGGTTTTGGGAGCGAGGGGAGGAGGGGTGGATGACTGGTTTCAATAATAGATGGGATCATGAAGGATGGCTGATGAAAGCAAGGAGGAGAGGGGAGCGGTGGACCCAGAGACACCCACATACAGAGGAGTGACGCTAGGTACAAACAGAGTTAATCTGACAAGCCATGCAAAGAGGGGCATCTCAGTGTTGGCTTCTTCACCATCCGTTTCCCCCTGGGTCACAAAGCATGATCTCTCAGTGAAGTAAGCCAGAAGTGACAGTATTTTGGCTGGCACTGGAGTGCAGTGACTGTTGGGATAAACCTCAACAGTGTTTGTATGTAAGCAGTATGAAAACAATGCCATGAGTTTCCTCAAGATGCAACACCATTATATTTTTGATTTAATCCTGTTTGCAGCTCAGTGGGAAACACTTGCAGTGACACGGTAAGGGTGTGAGGCTCAAGACCCCTGACTTTTTTTATGATCTTTGGGGGCGAATAGCCATAAATAGACAAATCTATGGCACAAAAGTATTTTCTTTGTCATTAGGACGGACTGAGAATTGTTTTAATATGGTTTGAAATGTCCATCATCATCAAAAATATAAGAATCTTAAATAAATGTCAAAATGAAGCTACTTTACAGATCAAGGCTGCTCGTTTCCATTTTATTAGGAGGTCGAAGACATGGATTTTGGAGTACAAGCAAGTGTGTAGTATATTAATAATGGATCAGTCTCTATGTGTTATGGTATAATGTACTTGTCTATCAGTCTTCCCCACAAAATGTTTGTTTATTACATGGGCAGACATCAAATTAAGGCTAAGCGAAGGGATCTCCAGGATAAATACAAAGGTAAAAGCTTATGGTTAACTTGAACAGCCAAAAAGTGATTTAAGTGATGCAGAAGCAGCTACTCACAGGGTCAGTAGCGGTACTTTACATTAGGAGAGAGCGATCAAATTACAGTGAAATTCATGGAGGGCAAAGACCATGACTGACTAGTGGGAAGACTGTAGCCGAAGCATTTACATATGGAGCCAATGAGACAATATCTGCTGCAGCATTGGAGGTCACGCCTCGGTCAGGATCAGCGAGGTGAAAAAGTTGCGGGTTAAGTAAAGTTGAAGCCAGCTTCATGCGTAACACCGGATTCCAACTCATCAGAGGGACGAAATATTTCTTCACACTAAAAAGCTCTTTTTCTGCAGTTAAGTCATCAAGTAAAAGTTCAAATGTATAATCACAGACGGGAATTTAGTTATCTATGGTCTACAGACATAGTCATACAGACAAATGAATACCTCCATAATCTCTCATTGTCTTATTAAGCTATATTAGTGCTTTTTGACACATGGATTAGTAACTCACTGACTTATCTACGTGAAATGGCTTTTTAAAAAGTAGACAGAAATGTCAGTTATTTGAAAGTCCATAAAGTTAAACGACTGATGGATTTTAAAATTATTTTTGCATCAAAGCCTAATCTACACACATTTTGGAAAGCTATAGATTCTCACTACTTTTATCTTTTATCAATTAGCTTGAGCCTACATCTTTTTAAAGCTTGAATCAACAGCATTTTCCATGTATCCAAACAACAGCAACGCAACACCTTTGCATGAGATGTAACAGCATGAAGTTCCCTTTTAAGTTCTTAATTTCTACACCAGTAACATCTTTTTAAATAAATATACTGTATTTTTACATTTTTTATTGAGTTCAGTGGTTGTATTTGGATGGACAAAATGCCTTTTTATCTAATCTTTGACCTTGGCTATGTAAAAATATGCAAAATAATCTGCAATTTCCCTAACTCGCCGTGAGCTGTTTTCATGTTGTTTGATACCCTGTGATTAGCTGTCCCTGTCAGCATGATTAAACCTATTAACAGGACGTCTTTGTGCCAATGAATGTCAGCTCACTAGCCTGCTAATTCCTTCCCTTCTGCCAGAGCAGGAGTAAAGCCACTCACAAGAGAGCGTGACGTTATGTTGCATTTTTGATCAGAATCTAATTTACCAATAAAGGAGAGAGTAAAGATCAGAGCATCTTAAAAGTTCCTTCACCAGGTACAATCAACCCAAGTTAGTCTCAACAATTCATTTGTTATCTTTTTGATTAGTAATTGATTTATTTTACAATAAATACAGACTTATAATAATTCTACTTTCAAACTTAAGTCAATTATGAATTGTTACAACTGTCTGTTTACCATGACTGAATAAATGTTCCTACGTGGTTTCATGTTAATTTGTGATAGTGCTATAGAAAAAAAACTAGATTTGTTGATGTATTTCTCTCTTTTCCTCTTCTCATTTTTGTGCAACATTTAAGAGCTTAGAAAGCAGAAATACCAATGACATGACATTTTTGGGTTATGGATTTCCTATCCTTTCTAAACTTTCTATCACCAACTCTGGAGCCATCCACTGCTAATAAAATCCTGTTTCACAGAGACGCGTCACATTTGACATTTCATGCAGTTTCTCTGTGTCTCTCAGTGTTTTTATTAAGCGTAAATGAAACTCACCAGACGTGAAGAGCACGATGGACTTGAGGCAGGAGTATTCAGCCGTGTCGACCTGCAGGGCCTTCAGCTTCTCCACCTGCTCCTGGAAGACCCGGATGTGATCCATGAAGGCCACCACGCGCTCCGCTGACATGGGCGATGCGTGCAGGCCTGCCGCTGCCAACAGAGGGGCTACGTGGAGCGGCATGGAGCACTGGGCGGCGTTCAGGACAAAGAGCTCGCTCCAGGACATACGCAAAAGAGCCACCTAGGAAATCAGATTGAGGTCAAATCAGAAGCGGTCGACAGGTCTGGATTTGAGGCACTTAAAAAGGTCCCCTATTATACTATTTTTGATCAATATATTATAGGTCTCAGATATAAACAAACATGTCTCTGAAGTGTTTGGCTCGAAATATCAAACAGATCATGCATTGTAGCTTCCCATAATCCTCTCTGTTTCAGCCCTGTTTCAAAAGTGCTGATTCTGTGTCTGTTACTTTAGATGAAAATAAGGAGCCCCTCCCCACGCCACTCTGAGAGAGATTTGGTTAAAAAGAACACAATGGTGCTCTAGGAGGAGATTCAGGTGATAAAGTGGGGGGGGGGGTTTACCTTGGTTGGTGATTGGCTAATGGTTACACAAGCCAAAAAATCTTTATGACATCATAAAGTGGCCAAAATCTTATCAGCTCATTTTCAGACAGGTTTTTATATAAATGGATCAGGATTTTTCCTGAAACTTTCAGAATCTCTTGACACAGAAGGGACACATGTTGATGTATAAAATAAATGAAAAAGTGGATTTTGCAAAAAAATTTAATCCAAAATATGGACGTAATGGGGACAAGATAATGATTCTAAATACTAAGGGTTTGTTAATTGGATCCAATCAATCAAAATGTATCTATCAGGAATGATGTGTAAATGCGGTAGCAGGTTTGGCAAGTGCTCATGGTTTGCATATTTCAAGCAGCACTTCCACCTATCATTAACACGTGTCAAACTGTAATTCCATAGCACTAATGTTAAGTGTCTAGCCAGACACGAAAAGCACTAAACATCTAATAATCTTAACCAGGTTAACCAGGTCAGAATTTGGTCACATTATCAAAAGAGGAAATGCTAACTAGCCAGACAACAGGATCTCTATTCATGCACATTATATATACACACACGAGTTATATATTCAATAACTGAAGGAAGAAGGAAGCATGAACATATCAGGCAAACAAAACAGAGTGTCAAACTGTCAAAAGGTGATTGTAAGGATGAATAACCGTGATGAAACGTTTATTGTCAGTTTTAAAAGGTCATAAAGTTACAAGAGGATGTGACAAGTATTTTGATATGTAAACATGTGAATCTTTATTTATACTGTATGGGTTAAAATAATAATACTAAAATCTGCATTGGGAATTTAAATGAAAATTGCATAGCTCCTGAGAGCGAATTATTTATGAATATTACAGATCGTATGTCAAAAACTGTAGAATTATTTGAATGGTTTTAAGGGCAACAGCCCTATATATATATGACCCACCTTTGTAGCAGGATTTTAAATGATGGTTAATTGCTAAGTTCTCTACTTTAAGGCATTTAAATGATGTTGTCTACACTGACAGACTGTTAACATAGAAGCAGTTCAGTTTCAAGACACGTGTGGATGTCAGGTGTAGTGTTTAGAAAGAACATTGAAAATAATCATACAAAACGGTTTTATATAAAGCTCCGAGCTGCTTGTACAATTTGAGACAGGACCGATGCATGCTACATTTTGACTTGACTTTAATGATATATATAAGATATGGTGCAGCTACAGCATGACATATTTGTGATGACTATGTCTGCCCAAGGTGCACGTGAATATTTATAGGTCAGGCGATTCTTTCCGTGCCAGGAATTTACAGCTGGTGTAAATCTACAAGAGGACCATTGACACCACACCTGTTCCTGCCTTCAGTGAATAATAACTAAACTGAATTATGTTTATGTGACACTGAGTGATGTCGATTCACAGATAAGGAAAACAAACATCAATTGTTTATCTTTTTCAAAGTGCTCGAGGGGGTGAGATACAGAATAAGTTTAATAATCCTAATACAAATTAGATATAACATGACCATTAGTGAGTTGATTCTCTTAGATAATTCCTTCAACGTTGCTGTTAAGATCATTTAGTGTAAATTCTCACCTGATCCATGAGCTGCAGGTCGGGGAAGAAGGGGATGTTCTTGGCCCACTCCACGGCGCTGAAGAGCAGCCTGGCCGCCAGCTCGCAGATGTTCTCAATGCCCATCAGGTTGTTTCCCTGCATGCACTGGGCCCCGTAGCGAGAGGTGGGGTAAGGCTCGGCGCGCAGCAACAGAGAGATGAAGCCGGAGAGGTACGGCTGGCCGTTGTACGGGTCGGTGCCGTTGGTCAGGTACTGCCCCGGGCTGGTCTGGGAGTTTGATGTGCGTCCTCGCTGTACAGCTGATGGAAGAAAAAAAATACATGAAATTGACACTTCAGCATAAATCAGAATATAGAAAAATATGGGCGACATCTTTACTCAGTTTATGTTTTGTCTTCCTCTCAGTAAACACAAAGACTTTTAATAGACCGTAAAATATCTGAATGTAAAGCGTAGCAAAACGTTAAAGCCTGAAGGAAGAACTGTAAGTAAAAGGAGACAAAGACAAAAAAGAAAGATTGAAATTGGGTATGTCAAATGTGTTGGGTGGGGGGTTTGTAGAATGGGGTCAAAGGGGCGAAAAAGTGTAGAGACGGGATCATTTCTCTGACTCCTAAATATGTCAGCGCTCGTCTTTTCAGTGGAGCGGTGGAAAGTGGCCTGACCAAGGATGTAGTGCATCAATAAGTAATGACAAGCAGCAGCTGGAAAAGATATAACACTTTTTCACACCTACACATGTTATGCACCCACATATGCATACTCGCATGAATACATACGGTAACATGCTGCCCCCTCCCCTCCCTCTACTGGCAAATGGCTCAGCCTGAGGCGAAAAGGGCACGCAGAGGCCAAGCTCTCCTACACACACACACACAAACACACGCACACTAACGCCCAACCCCCCCCCCCCCCCCCCCCCCCCTGTGGTGCAATGATGATGCGGCGAGTGCGCAAAGGCCCATTTGGAAAACACCTGTTCAGTCATCCCCACTGTCTGACTAATAACTCCATCTAATGTTACACAGAGATATATAAGGGGGAGAGAGGCCATGGGAATGCAAAGGGGAGGAGGGGGACATGTGAGGGGGAAAATTAGGTAAAAGGGTGAAATGGTGAGATAAGGTGGAGGGGGAGAAAAAGTGAGAAAAAGAGCGATTGAGGGAAGAGAGAGGAGAGGTGTGGAGTTCAATGTATTTGAATACAGCCTGAGATGAGGCTTCAGATAGAGAGTGGTGGTTTACATAAAGAGACAGGTGGGAGCAGGCGGTGGAGAGAGGGCTGAAATTAAAGGGNTTAAAACTGTTGAAATATGAGACTATGAAAAATATGCAACTAGAAAGACTGAGTTAGTTCCGTAAGAGCCAGCATGCGGGACCGGGATTCTGGGATTTGTAGTCTTTCTAGTTGCATATTTTTCATAGTCTCATATTTCAACAGTTTTAAGACAAACTGTGACTGTTTCTACATGGACATTTTTTTATAAGATTGACAAACATCTTATGTGTAATTCGTGGCACAATTCAAACGCGATCGAAAGATAATCTTTCTCTCCCCATTGACTTCAATACATAATTTTTCCGAAATAAGGTCCCATGGGTCGGAAGTAGATGGGCGTTACTTAGCCTCTCTATGAATACATCACACACCTCCACACGCAACCTCCGCTCCACAACCAACCATCGGCTTCGCCCCCTGAGGACCAAACTCCGCACAATGGGGGATCAGGCTTTCTGTGCAGCTGCTCCTCACCTGTGGAATTCCCTCCAAGACCACCTGAGGACTCCACAGACCACTGACGCCTTCAAGAAAGGCCTAAAAACCTTTCTTTATAAAAAAGCTTTCAAAGCTTATGATTAACTTTTGTTTATTTGGGGCGCTGTAAGGAAGTCTGAAGGAAGGGTCAGATTTTTTTCAGCTGCGAACTTTCAAATTCTAGTGAACTCGAGCTGGTTTCTCCCTTCTTACCTACCCTACCTTTAATGCATCAATGTAATAATCCAGCTATATAATGTATAATATTCTTAAATGGGCAATTCTGCATTATGAGTAGCCTCTTTTTTTGTAACAGCAAATTACATTTTATTTCACAATTCTATTTTAGATACTATTTGCCCATCTACCCAAAAATAGCAGGGTATTTGAAACAATCCTGCATTAACACAAATAACACTTCAACCACAGAATATCAAGGATACATAATTCTACTGCTTTAAGATATTTCGTTGTCAAAGGCCCTTTGATTCAATAATGGAAAGAGGAACAAGCGCCAATCAATACCTTGAATCAATCAATGATTTTAAACAAAGTGGGGCTCCCCCGCACTCATGCTGGGATAGGGCCCAAGTGTTGATACAGGCCTGCTTGGTGCGTGACAGAAAGTAAGCAAACACTCAACTGTGTGTGTGTGTGTGTGTGTGTGTGTGTGTGTGTGTGTGTGTGGGTGTGTGTGTGAAGGAGAGACTCTGAGAGAAAGAACACACATGGTCTTTGACCCCGGGTTCAAGGTGTGTGTGTGTGTGTGTGTGTGTGTGTGTGTGTGTGTGTGTGTGTGTGTGTGTGTGTGTGTGTGTGTGTGTGTGTGTGTGTGTGTGTGTGTGTGTATAGTTGTGATTCAAGTTGGGTAAATATAGCTGCTGGTTGCTCCAAGTGTNATACAGGCCTGCTTGGTGCGTGACAGAAAGTAAGCAAACACTCAACTGTGTGTGTGTGTGTGTGTGTGTGTGTGTGTGTGTGTGTGTGTGTGTGTGTGTGTGTGTATAGTTGTGATTCAAGTTGGGTAAATATAGCTGCTGGTTGCTCCAAGTGTTAACATTCAGACAGGGACCAAATGGAAAGAAAGACAGGGATATGGACAAGAACAGGTTGGTGCATTTTGACTCTTAAACATAATGTCGACTTCCCTATACACACACACACACACACACACACACACACACACACGCACACACACACACACACACACACACACACACACACACACACACAACCCACTCCCCCCACATGGTAACCTTGTGCCCCTTACACCAGTCTCCCCTCCTCCAACTCCCTCCCCCAATCCCTCAATCCCCACCCTCGATCCCACCCGCCCACCGCCATCACGCCTCCCCATGTGTGTGTGTGTGTGTGTGTGTGTGTGTGTGTGTGTGCGTATAAGAGAGAGAGAGAGAGAGAGAGAGTGTGTGTGTGTGTGTGTGTGTGTGTGTGTGTATA